CTGCGGGGCCCGCAGCCCCGGCCGGACGCGCGCCGCAGGACTCCACCGGCACCTCCTCGGGCCCCTCGCCCGCCGAGTCCAGGGCGCGGCTGAAGTCACTGGTGGCGGTGACCGCTTTCCTGACCCAGGGCCGGCCCTCCGTCGGGGCCGGGACGCCCGCAGCCTCCCGGGGGGCGAGGGCGCTGGTCTCGGTGGCCTGGCCAGCCTCGCCCTGGGCGCCCAGAGGCTGGGCTGGGGCTGCCTGGGGGCTGCACTTCTCGCGCCCGCGCTCCGAGCGGTTTGTCCCGGGAACCGTTAGCGCGGGCTGGGCCTGGGGCAGTGCCTGCTGGGCCGGACCCTGGGCTGAGGCCGACCACCGGGAGCCTGCGTCCACTGCAGCGGCGGACGCCGCGTCTATGGCATCCCACACACTCACCGCAGCGCCCAGGCGGAGGGGGTCGGGCTTTGGGGGATGGCAGGTTCGGTCTCCCGAGACAGCGTCGGCCTGACGTCGCCGGCTGCGGCGGACTGTCCCCAGAGAGCCAGGCAGGTCCCAGCGGTTGGTGTCCTGTTGCTCTCTGTGGATAGGGGCCCGGCGAGCTGGCCCGTTAGTACCGGCACCACCTGCCCCCGCCTGCAGTTCAGCTTCGCCACCAGAACTCCGAAGGGTGAAGTGGATCAGGAGGGGAGCAGGTGTCGCCCCTGCTTTGCTCCTACCCGGGATAGCAGTGTCTGGCCTGGGGGGCGCCCTTCCTTCACCTCGCTGGGCTTCTGGGGTGGTGTTACCACACGGCTCTCCCAAGGTCCCTCCACTGGTGGCATTTCCAAGAGTACTGAGCGGAGGTCCAGCTGTGACAGCCAAAACTCTGCCAACGAGGGGTTCCTGGTCCTGGGCCGCAGACATAGCCAGGCTCCCCTGACTGGGTCTGGGAGGGTGAGGCTTCTTCTGCCCTTCTCTGTCTCCCTTGCTGCCACCACTGACCTTGGACTCTGGATGCAGAACCAACCTGCCTTCTTGAGTAGACTGGGTCCCCCCGACTGTGGACTTGGGTCCTGCCACTTCCTGATCCTGTCCTGAGCCAAACCAATGCAAAGCCAGTGCTGTGGCAGCCACCACAGCCAGAGCCAGCAGACCAAGCGCAGCGCCGTCCCAGTCATCATCACCGTCCCCATCCCAGCCCCAGAGGGGCCCACCCGCCTGGGCACCCTGGATCATGGTACTGGCTGCAGACAGGGTATGAGGAATCCAGTGCTGGTTGGCTGCCCTGCTCACGGTCCTGGGCTGCCCTCTGGGCCAGTGGCATCCGGAGAGCCCCGCCCAGGGCTGCCCTGTTAAGGTGGACCTATTCTCTAGTACCTTGGGAGCCTCTTCCTGCCTGGAGGTTTGTCAGTAGTTCAGTTGGAGATATCAGGAGACCTTCAACAGCCTTGCCGCGCGGCCTACCAGCTCCTGCCCCCTTCTCCTTTTCTTGGCATCCCAGGATCAAATGGCAGTGTTCTCAGACACTCTGCTAGCAGCCCAGCCAACCTGCTTCTGCCTGACAGATCCTCACACCCCCAGTTCATCCCACACCTGGTCCCTCCTCTGAGCCTGGGTCCAGCGGCAGGGGCCTGGCAGGGAAGGTAACCCATGGGGAGATGTTATCTCTGGCCTTAGTAACATGACGCAGCCCTGATGAAGTTACCAGAAACTGGAGAGGCCGATTCCACTGTGACAACAGGGAGGAGTCGGGGGGGACAGACTTCCTAGTCTCAGACTAGGGAGGGGACCCTGGGACATGGGTCCCACAGTCAGACTGTCATATCAGTGTGAGTGTAGGTTTGTCTCTGGGTGTTAGGACGGAGGCTCCCACACTACCTTCTTCAGCAGCCCCTGGACTTTCCTGGTCCTGAGGTCACCAGAGAGATGGGGTAGAGTTTTGAAGTCAAGAAAAAAAAACGAAAATCCAAAAATTATGTTTCCCTCTTTGCAGCCAGGCTTATTCCCACCCACCCAGACCTAGGACCTCCTGAGCCCCACTTTACTCCTCCAGACTGCTCAGATGCGGTTCCAGGTCCCAAGAGAGCCCCGCGCCTGCCTGCCCTGCTCCAGTTACATCCATCGGCCACCACCCAGATCTTTCAGAAGCCCTTCTGGCCCTGGGCCTCTGCCAGCCCCACACCTGAGTGTCCTCTCAGTCCCCAGCCTTTCATGTCTGGTCTGAAATCTCAAGACCCCACCCCTCTCTGCCTCCTCATCCAGGCTGAGGCCTCACACGCTGGTCCGCAGACAGGGAACACAATCTTGGTTCCCTAGGGAGGAGCCTTCTCCTCCATCTCAGGAATGAGTCTTGGGACAGGTGCCAATGGGAGCCCAGGCGTGAAACAGTCTGAAGTCCCTGGGACAGTGGCATACCCCCCCATGTGGCTTTTTCCTTCTTCTGGGGACATAGTGGACCCAGCGACTTCTCCCTGAGTCAGGCAGCAAGGAGTTGCCAAGAGTGTCCCTGGCACCCAGCCTGGGTTGTGCTGAGCCTCAGGTGTCTCTCCTGGCCTGCCCCCCACCTCTCAACAGGACTATTAGATGACTATTAGTGAGAGGGTGGGGTGGGCCCTGTGCCTTAAGGTGGACTTCAAGCTAGGGAGGATTTTCTTCCCTGATCCTCTGTCCTAGCCCCAGGCTCTGGATCTTGGTTTAGTTGGGTGGAGATGATGACACCCCCGAACCTCCCTCTAGGCCATACAATGCCCCTTCAGTCAGCTCCACCTAGCTACTGAAGACTTGTCGCTCAGAGCCCCAGGCCACTATCGGAGCAAGTGATGGAGGACAACGTGGTAGGGAGGAACAAGCCCAGGGATCACCCCAACCAACCCACAAGGTGTGAGGACCATAGCAGGTGCTGCAGACACAGGTGATTAGGACCTGCGCTTTCCCTTTGGAAAGGAAGCATCATCCTTTGCCAAAAACAGACCAGACCAAGGGCAAAACTTTGAATGTAGAGACTTCATGTGGGTAGAGTGACTGTCTGGTCCTCTTGGCTTCCCAGAGGGAAAATGTGGCACAGCTGGGAATATAACAGAATATAACCTCAAAGCACCTACACAATTGGCCAATGTGTGCTGTGACAGCATAAATACCACACATACCATAAAGGGTTGCAATGGAAGATCTGACCAGCAGCAGCTTCCTGTGAGCCCCCTGGCAGGTGTTTGCAGAGGCAGCTCTGCCCTGGAGGATAGTCTGCCCTCAGCCTCCCCAGAGCACACATGCAGGAGGGGCACACAGGCAGGGAGCAGCCTTGCTGCCTGTGCCCTGGGCAGGAGGGCTCCTCCCTGGGCCAGGGGCTGCGGTGTAGCTCTGTAGCTCAGTGGTGGAGAGTGCACTTAGCAAGAACCCTGGGTTTGATCTCCAGTAATGAAATAAAATGTTATTTTTAGGAGAAATAACAAAATATGAATTGTAATAGAAAAATTTAAACAAGTATTCAACAGTATGAGAATGAAGGAGAAAACATGCATGCAACTCTAAAATGTGGTATTGAAAAACTTATTTAAATAATTATTGATGATGTGGCTGTGAAGTTTAATACAAATATTCATGGTGAGTCTTGGAATAAAAGGGGCATAAAAATAAAAATTTTAAATAAATAAGAACAAAGTATGGAAAGACAGAAAGAAGAGATAAAACATAATAAGTGTCGCCTCTTTGTACAAGAGGGAGAATATATACTTTGGCAGAGGGAGTTACTGGGAATTGAACCCATGGTACTTAACCATTGAGCTACATACCCAGCCCTTTTTAATCTTTGACTTTGAGACGGGGGTCTCTCTAAGTTACTTAGGGGCTTGCTAAGTAGCTGAGGCTGGCTTTGAACTTGAGATACTCCTCCCTCAGCCTCCTGAGCCACTGGGATTGCAGGCATGCATCACCAGACCCAGTTATAATTATATTCTTGAGGTCAGTTGCTAAATTCAGATCATTGCAAGTTTAAAATTAATTTTTAAAAGCTGGACTGGGGGTGTAGCTTGGTGGTAGAGCACTTGCGTAAAATTTAATAAAAATTAAAACTATTTGATGGGGTTGGGGGTTGAGAATGGAATGAAGGACTTTGTCCATGCTAGGCAAGTTCTTTGCCATTGAGCTACATCTCTAGTCCAATGGATTGGAAAACTCAATATCATAAAGATATCAACTGTCCCAAAATTTGCCTACAGAGTCAATATAATTTCAATCAAAATTCCATCAGCTGGGCTGGGGATATGGCTCAAGTAGTAGCGCGCTTGCCTGGCGCGCGTGAGGCACTGGGTTCAATCCTCAGCACCACATAAAAATAAAATAAAGATATTGTGTCCACCTAAAGCTAAAAAATAAATATTTTTAAAAAGTCCATCAGGTAAGGAATATGTGGGAAGGAGGGAGATTCAGAAACAGAGACAGACACCAAGACTTGAGAGCTGATTCTACAGTGCCTCACAGGGCAAAGAGGACCAATATAAAGGAACACCTGTGGACAGACAGAGTCACACAGAGTGCAGGCAGACAGACAGGAGGAGCAGAGAGGAGAGAAGTGCGGGGGTGCAATGTGGCCCCTCCCTGCCTGGGAGTTTATTAAGGAACACACACCTCTCGTTACCATGACTGTATTCTAATTAGTCCTTCTTTAACCCTGAGTCCTACCTGAGATAAGGTCCTCCATTCTACGGGGGCATCCCCAGGAGACCAGGTAGTGCCTGCATAGTTGTCTTATTACTTCAGAGGGAGGAGACTGGGCACCCAGGTCTGGGAAGCAGGGTAGACTTGTGAAGGACAACGCTACGGCAGCCAGGCAGCCGGTGCTTTTGCACAGGAGTTTCCCAGTCATCAGGTACTACCTAGCAGCCAGGCATTCTGTGTCTTTGCACAGAAACTTCTTAGTCACCAAGCTTGTCACAGTCATGAAGTCTGTAGACCCCAATCCCAAACACAATTCCTGCAGACCAAGGCCGGAGCCCACATACCTGGGGGTCTGGCCAGCCATCCTCTTCTTGGAGTTGTAGCCCTAAACGACCGTGCCCTCTGGGTAAGAGTGAATGAAACACAAATCAGCCCCCACCTGGGTTTGAGGCCTAGGTTTGTATGACAGATGATCCAGGAACTTCAGTCTTTGAACTTGGGTTAGAGTGGTTCAAACTGTTCCTATCATCAGTCTTCCATCTGAAATCCTGTTTTTTTTTTTTTTTTTAGAGAGAGTGAGAGAGAGAATTTTAATATTTATCTTTTAGTATTTGGCGAACACAACATCTTTTTTGTATGTGGTGCTGAGGATCCAACCGCTTGAGCCACATCCTCAACCCTCCAACTGAAATCCTTAAGAAAGGTACCATCCTCAGGCATGGTGGCCATGCCTGTGACCCCAGTGACTCCAGAGACAGAGGCAGGAGGATAACAAATTTGAGGCCAGTCTCAGCTACTTAGTAAGACCCTGTCTCAAAAAATACAAAGGGCTGAGGATGTGGCTCACTGGTTAACCATCCCTGGGTTAAACCCCCCCCCAAAAAAACCCCACCATTCTAGACCTCAAATAATTTCTACAAATAATGTTCACACTAAATATCCATGTGGGGGGCTGGGGATGTGGCTCAAGCGGTAGTGCGCTCGCCTGGCATGCGTGCGGCCCGGGTTTGATCCTCAGCACCACATACAAACTAAGATGCTGTGTCCGCCGAGAACTAAAAAATAAATATTAAAAAATTCTCTCTCTCTCTCTCTCTTAAAAAATAAATAAATAAATAAATAAATATCCATTTGGGAGGCCAACCTTACACGTGACTGAGTTACACTCCCCGGCTGGGTGCTGAGGCTCTCAGTCACAGAAACGTGGCACCCTTCTTGGGTGTGAGGGTCAGTGTCTCGTGCATGGGTGTGTCTTGCTACAGCCCCACAGGTGAAGCTATGCTCACCTGTTCCCTCGTAATATAACCCCTTGCCCTGCTTAGGATAGAATCCTCCATGGAAGTGCCTTGTATGTGTCCCCTTCTCTTACTGTACCCTTGGGTGTGGCCTACCCAGGTGTCAGTCAACCTGCTGACAGTGGACATCATGAAGATAGACTCAGCCCCCTGAAACCTGACCCCTTGCCTCATTTAAATAACTTCTCCTCAATAAAAGGGGTCAGAGTCTGCTTTCGATGTCTCTCTTTCTGCGGACCCTTAAGGTCAGAGGAGCTGTCACAGCGACTCCAAAGAAAAAGGTATTTGTGTCTCTTGTGTGGTTATTTTGCGCAGCCCAGTCAGCCCAGTTAAACTGGAGTGACCCCTGAGCCTTTTAGTTGTGAGAACAGAAACCCAGCATGTCCAGGTTGCAGATACACGAGGAAAAATGACACAATAACAAGGAACTAGCAAAGATAATAGACAACAGAAAA